GTTTTTTTTACTTCATTTAATACACCTCTATATGGGCACCATTAGTCGCACGAAGCACATATAACATTGCCTTTGTAATAAATTTTTTAAATTGTAAAAAGACTTTATAGACACCCTGTATATATATCAACAACTTGACTCGCTTAAACCTAAAATCCAGTATCTGTAAAAAAAAAAAAAATCCAAACCTATGTTGCCACTAAGAATATTAGGATTCTGGGAATCACCGAAACAAATATTAGAATCAGGGATCTAATATAACAAACAACTAGCTAGATTGAAAAAAAAACTTAGGGAGTTTGACACGAGGACCTCCCATTTTATGTGGAAGTGGGACACCCCCCTAATACGTGAAATATAGATTCTTTCCCCCGTGCGGATAGATGGCTTTGTAATAATATGGAACGCTTTATGTGAAACTGAGTTTTAATTATTAGCTGTTTTTTTTTTGTTTTGTTTTGTTTGTAATTAAGCACAAAGCTACACAATGGGCTATCCGTGCTCTGCCCACCACGGGTATCGAAACCCGGATTCTGGGGGGGGGGGGGGCAATTATTAGCTGAAAGTTATCTGACCTTACATATCGACCAGGTGGTTAGGGCGCTTGACTCGCAATCTGAGGGTCGCGGGTTCGAATCTCCGTGGGGGTGTTATAATGTGCGGTCAATCCCACTATTCGTTGGTAAAAGAGTAGCCCAAGAGTTGGCGATGGGTGGTGATGATGACTAGCTGCCTTCCCTCTAGTCTCGTGTAGTTTTGCGCAAGATTCAAACCCAACATACGGTGATGGTTTACAATGTCATAACTCCGGCAATGATTATCTAAATTTCTAATCAATTAGTAAACACGGCAGCCATATTAAATAACTAGACAATGTTTTACCTGCGCTTCGCCCACCGCAGGTATTGAACCTAGATTTTTAGTGTTATAAGCCCTCAGGTTTTGGTCATTACCTCTTTTGTCGGGGATGTTGGTGGTAAGGAAAATCATAGTTTTATCGAGCTTGAATCGGACTTACTAACAAGGAAAATAACAAGCTAATGATTTGTGTTTGTATTTAATATTTCTATCGTTCTGTCGCGTTATAATATAATTCAAGTTCAAAATGCACCGTAACTGAACGAATAAACACAAGAGGATTTTCTAATAAGCCAACTAAACCCTATTAATTAAAAATGCTAAATATTTTGTGTGTTCGTTAATAAAATAATGGCAAATCTGTGCTCTGTGTCATCGCGGGGATCAAACCCCGAATTTAAGGATGATAAATACTCGGACTCACTGTTGAGCCACTGTTGGTGATGAGGGGATACTCAGTAATGGAACTTTGTCAATAGGCTTGTTCTCAGCAAGTGCGCTATAGCGATGGGGACGGAGGTGGGGGCAATGAAAAAGTAACCGAAATCATTTCATTGGTAATCACTACATGATAGTGTAAATTATTATTAGCAGTATTGTGTTTAGCTGTAATTGTATATTGATTTAGCTTTACATTTGGATTTGATATAGATTGTATATACATATATATATCAATTTACACTTACAATCTGAAGAGGGTGGGTGGGCAGGATGTAAACTGCACGGAAAGCCCCCCCCCCTCGTGGCGCCGGCCTTATTTGTTCTATTGTGGACAGCACGTATAATAGTTTCAAACTACTAATTCAACTGTGTAGCTGCACGTTCTCCTAACGTCACAGCAGTTAAGTTTATATAATGTTATATTTATTCAAGGCTTATCTTTGTTTAAGGCCTAGGCTTAAAGACGAAGATCGGACAGCTAACAAGCTTTAAACAACGTATTCTTCGAGAAATATCGACGTTTCTTCCCAAACATGGAAGGAGGAAAATCTGAGGAGCACTCAAAAATAAAACGATGCCCCCTTGTTTTATCTGCTGCCACAATCTAAGCATCGTTTTATTTTGTCCCCCTTGTTTTATCTGCTGCCATAATCTAATAC